CCTAAAGCATTGTGGGTCTCCCTACAGCACATGGGCTGCAGCGGTTCAAGAAGGCAGCTCATCACCACCTTCTCAAGGGCAACTAGGGATGGGAAATAAATGCTGGCCAGACAGCAATGTCCATATCCCATAAATAAATTAGAAACGACTCCCCCTTGATGACTGGGGAGTCTAGAGCCAGAAGTAACAGTCTAAGGATACAAGGAAACCATTTAGAACCATAGAATCAGGCCTTTCAGCCCATCAAGTCCACACTGACCCTCCAAAGAGCATCCCACACGACCTACCACCCTACCCTATCCCTGTATTTCCGATGGCCAATTCACCTGACCCACACATCTTTGGACTGTGGGAGGAAACCCACGCAGACATGGGAACAACATGCAAACTCCACACAGTCACCTCAGGCTGGAACTGAACCTGGATTGCTGGTGCTGTGAAGCAGCAGCGCTAACCACTGAGCCATAATGCCACATTTAGGACTGAGATGAGGAGAAATTTCTTCAGTGGTAAGCCTGTGGAATTCTCTGCCACAGAAAGTGGTTGAGGCAAAACATTGTATGATTTAAAGGAGGAGTTGGATGTTGCACTTGGGGCTAAAGGCATCAAAGCGTATAGGGAGAAAGCAGAAACAGAATACTGAGTTGGATGATCAGCCGTGATCATTATGAATGGTGGAGGAGGCTCACGGGCCGAACGGCCTACTTCTGCTCCTTTTTTCTATGTTTCTATGTGACTGAGTCCTACAGGGATTAGAGTCATAGAGTCATACAGCACAGAAACAGATCCTTCAGTCCAACTCGTCCTTGACGATCAGATGGGCCACAATTATTTACAATCTATATTAATGACTTGGACGAGGAGATTGGATGTATTATCGTCACGTTTGTCACAAAATTAGGTGAAAAGGGAAGTGATGAGGATGACACGAATATTCTGCAGAGGGATCCAGACAGGGCAAATAAACTTGGCATGTGGAATATAATGTGAAGAAATGTGAGATTATGCAATTTGACGGAGGAGCTGAATATTAATTAAATGGAAAAAGACTGCAGAAATCTACAGAACAGAGGGATTTGGAAGTCCTCATGCATGAATCATAAAAATCTAGCATCCAAGTTCAGCAGGTAACAGGGAAGGTCAATGGAATTTTGGCCTTTATTTCAAAAGCAATGGAGTATAAATGTAAGGAGGTTTTACTAAAATGAAACAAAGCACCAATCAGATCACATTTGGCTTACTGTGAACAGTTTTGGGCCCTTATCTAAGCAAAGGTATATTGGCATTGGAGACAGTCCAGAGAAGGTTCACTCAGCAGATTCCAGGTATGGGATCTTTAACGCACCACCCTGCTCTCTGGCCAACATCTCTGTCTCTGGCTTGCCGCAGTGTTCCAGTGAAACTCAACGCAAGCTGGAGGAACAACACCTTCTTTTCCGCTTGGGGACCCTGCAGCCCTCTGGGCTCAACATTGAGATCAATAATTTTAGGGCCTAAACTCTCCCATGTCCCAGCCCCCTACCCCACACACCAGGCCTTGTTACCACATAGCCTGCCATTACACACCCACTGTTGTTAGTCACTAACAGTCCCCATTAACAACTATTCACCCTCCCAGCACGATCGTTAGCAACTCCTTTGTCTGGCCAATTATCTTTCTCTCTCTTTGGACTCTATCCAATCGTTTACTCCCTACCCCATCCCCCTCACTTTTTTCTCCATATAAAATGACATTTTCCCAGCTACTATCAGTTCTGAGGAAGGGTCACTGGACCTGAAATGTTAACTCTGTTTGTCCCTTCACAGATGCTGCCAGACCTGCTGAGCTTTTCCAGCAACTTTGTTTTTGTTCCAGGTATGGAGGGACTGTCATATGAGGAGGGATGAAATAGATTGGGCCTGTACTTTTTTGGAGTTTAGAAGAATGAGAGATGACATTTTTGAAACAAACAAGTTTTCAAGGGATTTTGACAGGGTAGATGTGGAGAGATTATTTCCCCTTTTGGGAGAGTCTAGGACCCAAGGGCAGAATTTTAGAATAAGGGGTGAGACATTTAAGAAAGAGATGAGGAGGAATTTCTTCTCTCAGAGTAGTGAATCTGTGGAGTTTTTTACCACAGAGGCCATTGAGTCTGGGTCATTAAGTATATTTGATGCTGAAGTAGACAATATTTTAATTGGGAAGGGAATCAAGGGGTATGGGGAAAAGGCAGGAAAGTAGAGTTGAGAATTATGAGATCAGCTGTGATCACACAAAAAGTTGAGCAGACTCAATGGGTGGAATAGTCTATTCCTGCTCCAATGTCTCAGAGTCTTAAGCAAGTGAAAAGTTCTCAAGCTAGGTGGGAATGTTGATTTGATGGTCTTATTGACTGGAAGAGAAGTATTGAGGGGCTGAATGGCCCACATCTGCCCTGATTCCTCAATCCCTATTGGATGATAAGTCTGCCCTACCCCCTGCTAAGCATTAATTGGCCAGTTAGGGGAAATGCCTGTTCCCTGCAGAATGCACGCTCCAGGCTCCTATTTGACCCTGACCCCAAGGGTGATAAACCCACAATGGGGATCAGGAGATTTTTAACAAATATTTCTTGATGGGTAATGGGTTTTGCTGGTTAGGCTACCATTTGTAATCTACCCCCAATTGCCCTGTGGTGTTTATATATGAGGGTGGAGGGTGCCAACTTTCTCAGTGGCAATAACTGACCACCTGTCCTAGACTTTCCAAGTAGATGTAACGGTCAAGGAGGCACAACAACGCCTCTTCTTCCTCAGGTGGCTCAGGAAATTTGACATGTCCATAAGGTCCCTCACCAACTCCTACAGATGCACCATTGAAAGCATACTGTCCAGGTGTATAACGGCCTGGTATGGCAACTGCTCTGCCCAGGACCGTAAGAAATTACAGAAGGTGGTGTGCACAGCCCAGACCATCACGGAAGCCAACCCTCCATCCATGGACTCTATTTACACGGCTCGCTGCTGTGGAAAGGCGGCCAACATCAAAGACCCATTGCACCCCGGTAATGATCTCCTACAACCTCTTCCATCAGGCAGAAGGTACAGAAGCCTGAACACACACACCAGCAGGTTCAGGAACAGCTTCTTTCTGGCTGTTATCTGACTGATGAATGGGCTCTCTAGCCTCAAATAATGCTGATCTTGTTAACGTTGATCTCGCCCAACGCACGCCCTGTGCAAATGTAACCTGTGCCTCTGTCTAAGTCTTTTGATCTGTACCGCCTTGCCTACTATGATCTGCCTGTACTGCTTGTAAACAAAGCTTTTCACTGTATTTCAGTATGCATGACAATAAATCAATAAATCAATCAATTAGGTGTTTCACTCTGAGTACATTCAGCCCAAGTAAAGATAAACTTTGGAATCTTCCTTAAGCAGTGACTATTAGGGGATGGGAATAAGGGCTGGGTTAGTGTATTGCTGCAGTGTAAATGCAGTTTGACCCTCACAAGAACCCCGAGTTCATATTGCAGTATGCTCCAGGCTGCAACCTGGCTCTTCATCCCTAAAGGAGAGTTCCAACTACTGTCAGAGTTCAAGAAAAACAAAATAATCATTATGAACAGAGTCAGAGAGGATCATTACAGCAAGAATGGAGGCTATTTGGCCTATTTTCTCAGAACAAACAGCTCATTTGCTGTCAACCTCCAGCCTTTTCCCTGTAACCCTTCCTTTTCAGATCCATCTAAATCCCTTCAAAATGTTTCAGTTGAATGTGCTCTCCCCACTCTCTCAGGCAGAGCAATCCACATCCAGGCTGTTCACTACATGAATCAAACTGCACAAGAGGAGGCCATTCAGTCTTCATGCTTGTGCTGACCCTCTGACAGAGCCAGTGGCACTCTGCTTTGCCCTGCCCATAGTGGGTCAGTGGTTAGCACTGCTGCCTCACAGCATCAGGGACCCAGGTTCGATTCCAGCCTCGGGCGACTGTCTGTGTGGAGTTTGCACATTCTCCCTGTGTCTGCATGGGTTTCCTCCGAGTGCTCCGGTTTCCTCCCATAGTCCAAAGATGTGCGGGTTAGGGTGGATTGGCCATGCTAAATTACCCCCATAGCGCCCAGGGATGTGCAGCATAGGTGGGCTAGCCATGGGGAATGCAGGGATAGGGTGGGTCTGGATAGGCTGAATTGCCTGCTTCCACATTGCGGGGGTTTTCTGAAGAAGGGTCCTGACCCGAAACGTCAGCTTTCCTGCTCCTCTGATGCTGCCTGGCCTGCTGCATTCCTCCAGCTCCACACTATGTTATCGCTGATGCTGCCTGGCCTACTGTGTTCTCTCTGATGCTGCCTGGCCTGCTGTGTTCCTCCAGCTTCACACTATGTTATCGCTGATGCTGCCTGGCCTGCTGTGTTCCTCCAGCTCCACACTGTGTTC